TCGAGTGATTTTGCAGTGTTTAAGCCCCTTTTTTGCACGTTCGTTCGTTCTCACTGATTACGCGTTCTGCAATTTTGTACCGAATCTGCATTAATTATTATATTTATTTATTTATTTATTTATTTTATTTATTTATTCATTTTTATTTACTTATTTATTTATTTATTTATTTATTTATATTTATTATTTATTTATTTATTTACTTATTATTTATTTATTTTATTATTTACTTTTTAATTTTCATTTTTTTGCGTTAAAGGAAATTATATTGTAAATTAAGATCGGGCATGCAGTTAAAAATATAGGTAACATGTAGATCAAATTCTCAATATACTAAGCTCAGGTGATGCAAATTTGGCCCAATATCAGAATGCTTGACCTCACTAATAAATTTACATGTTCTTTTACTATCAAGATAATAAATTTACATGTTCTTTTACTATCAAGTGGCAGTTCGTTTCTGATAGATGATCTTGGGGGCTGCTTTTAGCTTGGCCTGTAGATCCACACTTAGATCTTTTACATTCAACTAATGAAATTGTTTCGTTTCGACAATGGCTGAGCTTTTCCATTATTATTTTTTATTTATTTATTTATTTATTTATTTATTATTTATTTTGCGTGATCTGTGTTAAGAGGATTGTGGTCATAGTGATCAAAGTCGTCAAGTGATGTTTTTTTCGCTCAATTCCATTTATTTGAATTTTGTGGCTGGTCATTGTACATCAACAATCATTGTGTAAGAGGGTAGAAATGTATCTTTTTTGTCGCTATATAAGGTAAATTAAGGCGATCATGAGACAAACATCCTTGCTCTTGTCATGTATATTTCTATTTCTTCGGGAAGTTATTTAGCATCGTCGTCTTTATTGCGTTTATTTCTCTCTGTATCATCACTATCGCCAATACTATTATCTGCACAACCACTGCAGCCACCATAATCATTTTAGTCATCACAATCACTATAATCACCACAATTACTACACTTAATACAATCACCATTACTTACAATTGCCACAATCATTACAATTATCACAAGCATTACAATTAATATAATCACCACAAGTTTATAAGGAGGCTAAATCTTAATATAATGCTCATTTAAAAGTCTCCATTCCTCCTTTAGTGAAACCTGGTGGTAGTGTTACATGCAGTTCGTTTGAGAAAGCTACTTTTTTAGGAGAATGTTTTAATTCAAACCAATTTCCTGTTTCTTGTCCCCCATTACCATGATTTAATTCATTTGCTTTCAGATCCTCTGTTCCTCTGGGGTTCCTCAGGGTCCTCAGGAGTTGTTCTTGGCCCTTTGCTCTTCATTTTATATACAAGCGATACGTGGTCTGACATTACTAATAAAATGTTGGCATATGCTGCTGATACCCCTCTCTGTGCTGATATTCCTTCCTCGGCAACCAGGCAAATATTAGCTGACGGTCTCACTATAGACCTGATGATGATTCAATCGTGGTGCTCTCGGTGGGCATGAAATTAAAGTCCTACTAAGTCTAAAGAAATGATTTTGAGTCGCCTCTAGAACGCAGTTGCCTCAGCATCCAAGTCTGCTAATAAATGGAGTCTTTAGTTCACTGGATAATTTGAAGCTCTTAGGTGTAACCTTTGATTCGAAGCTTACGTTTGCAAATTAGGAATATAGCCCGGGCAATTTCATCTAAGTTAGGCATTATTAGCGAGTGCAAGATCTATGAAGATGACAATATTACTCTCAGATGCTTCTTTTCTTTTATTCTGCCTCATTTTGAGTATTGTTCTCCTGTGTGGTTATCTGCTACAGAGTCACACCTAAGACTGGTCGTTCTTTTAATTCCTTTAAATTTCTTCTATCAGACTTCAAATTGGACATAGGGTATTGAAGAGAAATCAGGGCTCTTTTAGTCTTGTATAAGATCATTTACATCCTCTCTATAAGTTTTTACCTGATTTTTATCAACCTGCAAGAGTTACTAGAAATTCTACGACTGTCATTGACATTTGATGCAAGTCGGTCGTCTACAACTCAGATTTCTAGATGTTTTTTTACTGTTATTATTAGGCTCAACTAAATGTTTTTGCTTCGTAAATAACTGATACTTTTTCTATCTTCTCATTCTTTCTTAATTGTGTCTTGACTGCAATGACACTTTTGGTGGTATTTATCTCGAGTTTTTCAGTGTGGCTTTTCATGTATATAAAAGAGCACTATCATCATTGCAAGTACAACAATCACCACATTCACTACAATCACCACACGCACTATAAGCACTACATTCACAGCCATCACATTCATTATAATCAATAAAATCACCACACTTATTACAATCACTACAATTGTTCCCAGCACTACAACCACCAACCCTTACCACAATCGCCACACTACAATAACCACAAGGACTATAATCACCGCAATCACTACAATCACCACAAAGACCGGGATATAATCAATCACTACAATCATCACACTCACTACAATCCCCACAAGGATTATAATCACCCCAATAACCAGCCCTTAATACAATCACCACAATTGTTATCAGCACCACAATCACCAACCCTTCCCACAATCACCACAAGGACTGCAATCACCACACACTATAATCACCGCAATCACCACACTCACTATAATCACCGCAATCACCAACTCACTATAGTCACCGAACAATACAATCACCATGACTGCAATCACCCACACTCACTACAATCACCACAAGCTCTGCAATCACCACACTCACTACAACACCACAAGCTCTGCAATCACCACACTCACTACAATCACCACAAGCAATCACCACACTCACTACAATCACCACAAGCTCTGCAATCACCACACATCAGCTCTGCAATACAATCACCACAAGCTCTGCAATCACCACACTCACTACAATCACCACAAGCTCTGCAATCACCACACTCACTAACATCCATCACGATCACTCACCACATCACTACAATCACTGCTCTGCAATCACCACACTCACTACAGTCACACAAGGACCGCAATCACCACACTCACTACAATACAATCACCCACTCACTACAATCACCACAAATGCAATCACACACTCACTGCAATCACCACATGCTCTGCAATCACCACCACTCACTACAATCACCACACAATCACCACACTCACTACAATCACAAAGCTCTGCAATCACCACACTCACTACAATCACCACAAGCTCTGCAATCACCACACTCACTACAATACACTCATCACCACAAGGACTGCAATCACCACACTCACTACAATCACCACAACTGCAATCACCACACACTACAATCACCACAAGCTCACAATCACCCACATCACTACAATCACCACAATCTGCAATCACCACAACTCACTACAATCACCACAAGTCTGCAATCACACACTCACTACAAATCACCACAAGGCTCTGCAATCACCACACTCACTACAATCACCACAACAATCACCACACTCACTTACAATCACCACAAGCTCTGCAAATCACACACTCACTACAATCACCACAAGCCTGCAATACCACACTCACTACAATCACCACAGGACTGCAATCACCACACTCACTACAATCACCACAAGCTCTGCAATCACCACACACTACAATCACCACAAGGACTGCAATCACCACACTCACTACAATCACACAAGCTCTGCAATCACCACACTCACTACAATCACCACAAGGACTCACCAACACTCACTACAATCACCAACAAGCTCTGCAATCACCACACTCAATACAATCACCAACAAGCTCTGCAATCACCACACTCACTACAATCACCACCACTCACTACAATCACCACAAGGACTGCAATCACCACAATCACTACAATCACTGCAATCACCACACTCACTACAATGCTCTGCAATCACCCACAACTCACTACAATCACCACAAAGCTTCTGCAATCACCACACTCCACTACAATCACCACAAGGACTGCAATCACACACTCACTACAATCACCACAAGACTGCAATCCACACACTCACTACAACACCACAAGCTTGCAATCACTACACTCACTACAATCACCACACTGCAATCACCACACTCACTACAATCACCACAAGGACTGCAATCACTACACTCACTACAATCACCACAAGCTCTGCAATCACCACACTCACTACAATCACCACAAGGACTGCAATCACCACACTCACTACAATCACCACAAAGCTCTGCAATCACCACACTCACTACAAATCACCACAAGGACTGCAATCACACTCACTACAATCACCACAAGGACCGCAATCACCACCGCAATCACCGACCTTGATGGGCCTGTGGCGGTCGGGCTGCCTGTAGCGGAACCAGAGGAAGGCCGCGCTGGTGCCGACGGCCACGAGGTTCCCGGCGAAGGCGGTGTAGTTGACCAGGACCCGGATGTCGGCCGTTATGAAGGGCACGAGGGAGATGAGCACCTGGCGGAGGGGGAGAGAGGGAGAGAGGGATGAATGGAGGAATAGGAGGAAGGGGGTGATGAAGGGCACGAGGGAGATGAGCACCTGGCGGAGGGGGAGAGAGGGAGAGAGGGATGAATGGAGGAATAGGAGGAAGGGGGGTGATGAAAGGGCACGAGGAGATGAGCACCTGGCGGAGAGGGGGAGAGAGGGAGAGAGGGATAAATGGAGGAAGGGGGGTGAAGGGGAGAGAGGGAGAGAGGGATGAATGGGGGAATAGGTGGAAGGGGGTGATAAAGGGGGAGAGAGGGAGAGAGGGGAGAGAAGGATGTCGGGTTATGAAGGGCACGAGGAGTGAGCACCTGGCGGAGGGGGGAGAGGGAGAGAGGGATGAATGGAGGAATAGGTGGAAGGGGGTGATGAAGGGCACGAGGGAGATGAGCACCTGGCGGAGGGGAGAGAGGGGAGAGAGGGATGAATGGAGGAATAGGAGGAGGAAGGGGGTGATGAAGGGCACGAGGGAGGTGAGGGGAGGGGGAGGGAGAGAGGGATGAATGGAAAATAGGAGGAAGGGGGTGATGAAGGGCACGAGGGAGATGAGCACCTGGCGGAGGGGAGAGAGGAGAGGGATGAATGGAGGAATAGGAGGAAGGGGGTGATGAAGGGCACGAGGGAGGGAGCAGGCGGAGGGGGAGAGAGGAGAGAGGATGAATGGAGGAATAGGGAGAAGGGGGTGATGAAGGGTACGAGGGAGGTGAGCACCTGGCGGAGGGGGAGAGAGGGAGAGAGGGATGAATGGAGGAATAGGAGGAAGGGGGTGATGAAGGGGGAGAGAGGGAGAGAGAGAGATGGATGAATGGAGGAATAGGAGGAAGGGGTGATGAAGGGGAGAGGGAGATGAGGAGGAGGGATATGGAGGAATAGGAGGGGGTGATGAAGGGCACGAGGAGATGAGGGGCGAGAGGGGGAGAGAGGGAGAGAGGGATGAATGGAGGAATAGGAGGAAGGGGGTGATGAAGGGGGAGAGAGGGAGAAGGGATGGAATTGGAATAGGAGGAAGGGGTGATGAAGGGCACGAGGGAGATGAGCACCTGGCGGAGGGGAGAGAGATGGATAAATAGGAATAGGAGGAAGGGGGTGATGAAGGGCACGAGGGGATGGAGCACCTGGCGGAGAGGGGAGAGAGGGAGAGAGGGATGAATGAGAATAGGAGAAGGGGTGATGAAGGGGGAGAGAGGAGAGAGGGATGAATGAGGAATAGGAGGAAAGGGGGTGATGAAGGGCACGAGGGAGATGAGCATGGGGAGAGAGAGAGGAGAGAGGGATGAATGGAGGAATAGGAGGAAGGGGGTGATGAAGGGGGAGAGAGGGAGAGAGGGATGAATGGAGGAATAGGGAAGGGGGTGATGGGGGATCATGAGGGGGAGAGAGGGAGAGAGGGATGAATGGAGGAATAGGAGGAAGGGGGTGATGAAGGGGGAGAGAGGGAGAGAGGGAATGAATGGAGGAATAGGAGGAAGGGGGGTGATGAAGGGCACGAGGGAGATGAGCACCTGGCGGAGAGGGGGAGAGAGGGAGAGAGGGATGAATGGAGGAATAGGAAGGAAGGGGGATGAAGGGGAGAGAGGGAGAGAGGGGAATGAGGAATAGGAGGAAGGGGGTGAAGGGCACGAGGGAGATGAAGCACCTGGCGGAGGGGGAGAGAGAGGGAGAGAGGGATAAATGGAGGAATAGGAGGAAGGGGGTGATGAAGGGCACGAGGGAGATGAGCACCTGGCGGAGAGGGGAGAGAGAGGGAGAGAGGGATGAATGGAGGAATAGGAGGAAGGGGGTGATGAAGGGGGAGAGAGGGAGAGAGGGATGAATGGAGGAATAGGAGGGAAGGGGGTGATGAAGGGCACGAGGGAGATGAAAGCGGAGGGGGAGAGAGAGGGAGAGAGGGATAAATGGAGGAATAGGAGGAAGGGGGTGATGAAGGGCACGAGGGAGATGAGCACCTGGCGGAGAGGGGGAGAGAGGGAGAGGGATGAATGGAGGAATAGGAGGAAGGGGGTGATGAAGGGCACGAGGGAGATGAGCACTGGCGGGGGGAGAGAGGGAGAGAGAGGGATGAATAGGGAATAGGAGGAAGGAGATGATGAAGGGCACGAGGGAGATGAGCACCTGGCGGAGGGGGAGAGAGGGAGAGAGGGATGAATGGAGGAATAGGAAGAGGAGATGATGAAGGGCACGAGGGAGATGAGCACCTGGCGAGAGGGGAGAGAGGGAGAGAGAGGATGAATGGAGGAATAGGAGGAAGGGGGTGATGAAGGGGAAGAGAGGGAGAGAGGGATGAATGGAGGAATAGGAGGAAGGGGGAGAAGAGGGAGAGAGGATGAATGGGAAATAGGAGGAAGGTGGTGATGAGGAATAGGTGGAAGGTGGTGATGAAGGGGGAGAGAAGGAGGGAGGAGAGAAGGGAGGAATAGGAGGAAGGGGGAGAAAGAGGGAGAGAGGGAGAGAGGGATGAATGGGGGAATAGGAGGAAGAGGTGGTGATGACGGGGAGAGAGGGAGGGAGGGAGAGAGGGAGGAATAGGAGGAAAGGGGGGGGAGAAGAGGGAGAAGAGGGAGAGAGGGATGAATGGAGGAATAGGAGGAAGGTGGTGATGACGGGGGGAGAGGGAGGGAGGGAGAGAGGGAGGAATAGGAGGAAGGGGGAAAGAGGGAGAGAGGGAGAGAGGGATGGGGGAATGGAGGAAGGTGGTGATGGAATAGGTGAAGGTGGTGAATGAAGGGGGGAGAGAGGGAGAGAGGGATGAATGGAGGGATAGGTGGAAGGGGGTGATGAAGGGAGAGAGGGAGAGAGGGATGAATGGGGGAATGGGTGGAAGGGGGTGATGAAGGGGGAAAAGGGAGAATACGGATAAAATCGAGAGAGAGAGAGCAGACACAGACAGACAGAAAAGAGAAAAGAAGAGAGAGCAGACAGACAGAGAGAGAGAAAGAAAAGAAAGAAAAAGAGAGAGAAAGAGAGAGCAGACAGACAGAGAAAAGAGAGAGAGAGAGAGTAGATGATAAAACAACAAAGAGGTATCAAGACACATTCTATTTATCTTATCA